ATATTTTTAAAAAATGTTGATTGATGGGTAAGAGCGCGCTGTGCCCGCCTCACCTCCTCGGCAGCACTGCGTTGCCGGGCTTGCAGCTGGGAGGCGACCTTGACGAGTCTTTGAAGCATGGTCCGTGCGACGCTGCGGTTCCTGACAAAGAAGAGATGGGCCGTGGCGCTCCCGAAGAGGGACACCGCGTACACCATGTCGACGATGGACTCGACGAGACCCTGGGAGCCCTGCAGTTTGCCCCTCATGTACACTGCCATCAGCACCATTCCCATGAGCCCCAACGATCCAGAAACGCTGAACTGGAAACATGTTGATTGGGAAGGGAAACGATAATGTAAGGTGAGGTAAAGAGGTAAGTTAATGCACTTAGCGCGGAAAAGAAATCTGGGGGCCCATTACACTGCCTTTCTTGTTACTTTGATCAGCCACGTGGTTTAATTTTTAGGACTGGCAAATTTTTTCTGAAAGCTTTTTTTTTCATTCCATCAACTGATCACGCTTTCGACTGTTGCAAATATATGTTTTTGTAGTTAACGGATAATTTCTTCCGATGAAGTTTCCCCCCAAAAAAACATGTGCGCAAGGGGGGGGAGGGGGGGGGGGCAGTCACAGACTGTAAACAGTATGGGACCTAAGGAACCTCTAAATTGAACTTTAAGCATCGGTAAATAATGTCCTCCGAAAAATGACCCGGCGTGGAAGTACGTGCTTATGTCCAAAACGCTCGTATTTCTGTGGTGGAAGATGAAAAATGTAGTTTGTGACGCGATAGCCTGTTAAACTTTAGCAATACTTTTTTTCATTCCTTGGCAGGAGGTCTGATTATCGTCGCTGACGAGGTTTCAGTGTGCTGCGCTCACCGCGTTGCCACGAAGACTGTTCCAGAGGCGACCAGAGAGTGAGAGTCGGTCGCCGCCGAGACTCTGCTCCCAGTGCATCAGCAACTCAGTCAAAATCGAAAGGTTTGACTTTCCATCGTCGACATCCTAGTGAAAAAGGGTCCACGTCAAAGCGCCGTGGGAAGGGAGAGGGAGAGCCCCCACTGTAACCCCCGGTAACACATGTGCGAAGGCGTTATAGCTCCACGGTAAATCTGTCCCCTGGGATTCCCAGGCACATTGGTTCATTCCCAGGGTATTTGGTAATTTCCCAGGACGGACCCTGAGAAGCTCCAGACAAAAAAAAACACTTGGTCGGCGACATCCTAAGAGCGGGCGCTTGTGGTGTTTTATCGGTTCCTTGTATGTATACGAACTGCCGAAAAGACACTTGGACGAAATCCGACACCCCCTGTGGCTTTGGTACGGGTCTAAACACCCCAAAAACAGCTGTTTTCGAGGGTTTGGGACTAGATGGGTTCTCGCAAACCGAGATCCAAAAAAGTACCCAAATGGGTCTCAGATACTCAAAAAAATACGCTCTTTCGAATGCCGTGTCGAACGAGGCTCTACGACGTCGGGTTTGGATGCTACGGGCTCTCAAAGTTGTTCAATTTCACTATTTTTACTGAAGATTTGAGCATATCAGGGCCGTTGGAAGTAGACCATCGGCGATTTCGCTCCTCTTTGTCTTAAATGGTGCCTACCCATAGGTAAACACCCCCACAAAATTTTAGCCATGTCAGGCAATTATAAGAGGAACTGTGAACTATTTAAGTTTTGGGTCATTTTACCACTGGGCTTAGGTGGTTATGGGTCCAGAAAAAATAATTGGACCCAAAACCACCTAAGCCCAGTGGTAAAATGACCCAAAACTTAAATTGTTCACAGTTCCTCTTATAATTGCCTGACATGGCTGAAATTTTGTGGGGGTGTTTACCTATGGGTAGGCACCATTTAAGACAAAGAGGAGCGAAATCGCCGATGGTCTACTTCAAACGGCCCTGATATGCTCAAATCTTCAGTAAAAATAGTGAAATTGAACAACTTTGAGAGCCCGTAGCATCCAAACCCGACGTCGTAGAGCCTCGTTCGACACGGCATTCGAAAGAGCGTATTTTTTTGAGTATCTGAGACCCATTTGGGTACTTTTTTGGATCTCGGTTTGCGAGAACCCATCTAGTCCCAAACCCTCGAAAACAGCTGTTTTTGGGATGTTTAGACCCGTACCAAAGCCACAGGGGTTGTCGGATTTCGTCCAAGTGTCTTTTCGGCAGTTCGTATACATACAAGGAACCGATAAAACACCACAAGCGCCCGCTCCTAGGATGTCGCCGACCAAGTGGTTTTTTTTTGTCTGGAGCTTCTCCCTGGGAACGGTGCAATATTCCCACGACGCCGTGAATATTTCCCAGGACCGTCCTGAGAATTATCCATAAGTCGCCAAACCCAGGACGCGTCCTGGGAATTTTTCAGTGTTCCCAGGGTCCGTCCTGGGAAATTTTCAACACTTCCTGGGAATCTATCTGGGTCCCCCAAATGACCCCCCAGACACCCTACCGTGTCGACTTTCACAAGTCTTTCTCTTGTAGGATGTCATCGGCGACCTCACAAGGTGCCCGATGACGTCCTCCTGGGGTTCGCCATGACGACCCCCATGTTTGACCGTGCATTCTGGGCCGCACGGACCTACCCAATCCGATGCCGAAGTCCGTTTTGTCCTACGACCAGTAGTTTAGAAGATACGAGGACGTACCACGAGGTCGCCGTCCAGGCAGGGGAGGAAGTGGTGAATTTTTGGAGGCCAAAGTAGCTCTGGCCGCCGCACAGTGGGCCACGAAGCCGAATTAGGCGGACATAATTCTCTCAGGCCATACCAATAGTTATTTTGACGTGTAACTTGGTAGTCGGGGGTTTTGAGGGGCGTAGAATCCGTTTTTGACAATATCTGATGCATGGGACCGTCCTTAGCACCTCAAGGGCGAAATTTGACAATATCTGATGCACAGGGACCTATTACGCCAAGACATGGTCTGACAAATTTTCTGCATTTTCATGAATTGAGCAACGCAAAAACCAAAACATGCACTCACGTTGAACGAAAACTCTGACATGCACAACTCTAAGCATTAGAAACGAAAACTATGAGGCGATTCCTCCGTTACGCGGGGAAGCGTTCTGCTGCGCGGGACCATTTTTCTCCTTTAAGACGATGTTTGGGAGACCCTGCAACTCAAAGGTGCAGGTAGGTGCAGCTTAGTTCTTTTGGGTTTTGTTCCTTGGCATGTTGGCTTCCACAAGGACTGAAGGAGGCCGTTAAACAACGTTAAACAAAAAAGTGCCGCCTCTGCAAAGGTTTAATATTAACAATTTTGTAAGAGTATAGTAAAAATGAAGCTGGACACCACAAAAATCGTCTAAAATCAAAAGTAAATGTATGCAAATGTTCGTGAAGAAACGCTCTTTCACGCGGTGTCAGTAAAAAGTTTGCTGCACAAAAATTTTCAAGTACTTTTTCCGTTTGAAAACATGCATTTTTAGTGCACCAAAGTGGCGCAAATCGTTTGTGCGCGTTTGACCACCTGTATGTTTGCCTCAATGTGTCCCTGTGTTGAAAATTCGGTCTAATCCTGGCTCCTTGGAGTATTGGGAAGAGATGCCATGAAAATAACTTTAAGATTAGAGAGTTGCAAAAATGGAAATATGTCCGCCTAAACCGGCTTCGTGGCCCACTGTGCGCCGTTCTATTGGGTGTCCGGGACTTCTGACTTCGGATTCGGGTTCAGGGGGTCTTCAGCTACCCATAGCCGGAAGTTGGTCTCGATAGGTCTCATGGTTTGACCAGGACGGCGTAAACCGCCCAAAACTGTACCATTTACCTGCCGCCAAACAACCAATCGCCGTCCTGGGCAGTCTGTTGGCCCCATCGACGCCAAACTCGGGCTTCGGGCAGGCCAAGACCCCCTGAACCCAAATTCAAAGTCAGAAGTCCCGGACACCTAATAGAACGGCGGTCCAAGCTTTCATCGGCGACCTCACAGGGTGCCCGACAACCTCTCCCCGAGGTTCACCATTATGACCCCCGTATATAAGCGTGTGTTTGGGGTCCTTTGGACCTACTCAATCCGATGCCGAAGTCCGTTTAGTCCTGCGATCAGTAGTTTCGGAGATACGATGCCGAGAGGCCGCCGTCCAGGCAGAGGAGGAAGTGGTGATTTTTTGGAGGCCAAAGTAGCACTGGCCGCCGTTCTATCAGGTGTCCGGGACTTCTGACTTTGGATTTGGGTTCAGGGGGTCTAAGCCTGCCCTGAGCCCGAGTTTGGCCTCGATGGGGCCAACAGACTGCCTAGGACGGCGATTGGTTGTTTGGCGGCAGGTTAACGGTACAGTTTTGGGCGGTTGACGCCGTCCTGGTCAAACCATGAGACCTATCAAGACCAACTTCCGGCTATGGGTAGCTGAAGACCCCCTGAACCCGAATCCGAAGTCAGAAGTCCCGGACACCCAATAGAACGGCGGCCAGAGCTACTTTGGCCTCCAATAACAGGAAAAGTAGCGATATAAATCGGCAACTTTGGCCCGTCCCGTGCATTAAGGAACGTACGAATTTCGCCTATGTTTGACCCTGACGGGAATAAAAGCTGAGTCTGGGGTTGAAATAAATGTCGTTTTCGTCATCAGCACCCTAAAAACATCAGAAACAATGCAAAAACTCGAATAAAAAGAATGTTCCAAAAATACCCCGCTGAGGTTTGAACCCGGGTCCAAACTTCTCCGATTCGCTCGAAACTGGCACCATTGGTTTTCTCTCGTCGCCCCGATTCTAAAAATACCCCTACATGCCCTCCTAGCTGCATCCGTTGCCGAGATCCTCCTCGACCCCATGTAGACCATGATGCACCTGCAGCAGCGCCCCCGGGGCTCGGATCGGATTTGCTGCCACCGGGCGGTTCTTAGGGTCACCCAAGGAGGCTGCATACCAAATTTGGTCAAGATCGGACCACGGGAAGTCCTCGGACGGACGGACGAACGAACGGACGCACAGCAGGGATCATACTATATGCCCGTCCCTCCGTCATTTTTTTTACAAAAAAATGAACGGGACGGGCCAAAAAATCACCACTTTCTCCTCTGCCTGGACGGCGACCTCGTGGTACGTCCTCGTATCTCACAAACTACTGGTCGTAGGACAAAACAGACTTCAGCATCGGATTGGGTAGGTCCGTGCGGCCCAGAATGCACGGTCAAACATGGGGGTCGTCATGGCGAACCCCAGGAGGACGTCATCGGGCACCTTGTGAGGTCGCCGATGACATCCTACAAGAGAAAGACTTGTGAAAGTCGACACGGTGGGGTGTCAGGGGGGTCATTTGGGGGACCCAGATAGATTCCCAGGAAGTGGTGAAAATTTCCCAGGCCGAACCCTGGGAACACTGAAAAATTCCCAGGACGCGCCCTGGGTTTGGCGACAAACCAAAATGAGGGTTTGGCATGTTTTTTTTCGTAATAAGCATTCAAAAACGAACAAATCCCCGTTTCGTTTTTGAAAATCGGTCAAAAATTGACCAAGTTACGAATTTTTCCTATTAACAGCACTGTTAAAAACTTTTAGGGCTTTGAGGAGGTCCTAAAAATCATTTTTTCGAAAAAAGAAAAACCACATATTTTAATTTTTTTCGATGTAGAATCCAGATCCGGGCGGCGTTGGACGATCCGGGCAACTTCATTTTTTTTAGGACCACCCCAGGCGGCGCTCAGCTTCTTCTCCAGGGCGCCCTTCTCTCATGCTGGGTGCGTGGAGTCACCAGTCTGGAGCATCCTAAATGCGCGGCAAGCAGGCTGCGCAGCCTTTTGCTGATATTGCGTCTTCCAAACAAAAGGGACGGCTGATGATGAGCGAGTTGGTGGCGTTTTGGAAATTGGACACTCCTCCTTCATCCTTGGCTCAAAGTGTTTTCATCTTGCCGAAAAAGTTTTCAAGCAAGGTGTGCAATATTGTCCATCACTAAGTTAATCTTATGCAGAAATGCTAACGTTTCTGTGCCTGCATTATTGTAAATGAAAAGCATATAATAATGCATTTTAAACAGAGTCCACTAGAGTATGCA